ATAGTCTGTGACTGCCTGTGGTCCATAGAGAACTAAAAGGTAAAATTGCCCTGGCTTCTGGGTTTTGAGGTACCATTCACATAGTACCAGAGTTGCTATATGCAGTCCTCTCTAAAAATGTCTTCCTTGCCAGTGGTGGGGGTATTTGCCAAGGGAAAGGAGAAATTACATGCATTATAAGTGAAGACAGTCCCACAAAACATTTAGGTGCAATTCTCGCAGTGGAAGGGTTTGGGAATGTGTGTGCTGATACATTTGGAGTCCAAACCATTAGCTTTTCACTTGAAAGAAAATCCCATTGCTGCTCATAAGCAACTAATCAAAAGCCAAACACTTCCAGAAAAGAAGCATGAAGACAAACCTAGGGTAGTGCTATGTTTAAACACATGCAGTAGGATTGAATACATCACAGATGAAGCAATAGTGAGTGGATCCATTGCATCTATGGAAAGAGATCAGTAAAACATAAATGTCACTATTCAAGTTTTAGATATTAAGAATCCACCCATAGTTGTCCCAGGTGGACTTCTCTTCACTACAGAGCCCTGCAGCAATTCAAAGCTTACTGTCTCCCCCTTCTCCATTTCTGCCATAGCAAAAGTAGTCACGGTGTTTCCATTTGGTGTTTTCCTCTGACTACTTGAGAGAGTTCTTTTGTACCCACGGCTAAAGGAGAGTTGTCCCAGTGCTGGTCCTGAACTAAACTCCACAGAGATGACAAACAGGTAGATGCCTTTGTGTGGTGCTTTAAAGTGGCCATGCTCAGGGAAATAGCTGTTCCCATAATTGAAGTATGTTTCATTAAACCTCACAGTTTTTTCTTTATCCTTTCCTTCTGAGAATCCCACATGGAATGCCACCAAGGAGTCTGAAAAACAAAGAGGAACAGGATTTTAGCAGCAAGCAAGTATTCTCTCCCCAGGGTCATCAGGATGGGAGATAAGGTGAAGCCCTGTCAGGCCTGATTTTTGTGTGCTTCCTTGCAGAGCTAAATGCTTGAAATGGGTATGTGTGTGGGATTAGATCAAATGGTTCCCTGGAAATACCTGAACCACTGTTCTTGGAAAAGTATAAGGTTAAGACCGCCCAGAGGAATAAAAAAGAAAGGCAGCACTTTTTATTGTCCTAAAAATAAATTAGTTAAAAATACGTTCTTTGCTTATTCAGTCTTGACCAAAGTTTTGCAGCACAGATGCCTGAAGGGGATGATTTTTGCTCTGTTATTTGTCCATAACAAGGGCTACAATCATAAAAGCCAATGCTGAAGCTGTGGTGGTTGTAATTACCAGGTCCTTATGGCCACATGTTTACAGGGAAAGGGAACTGGCTAGTGAAGTATAAGCTGAAAACTTGTCTCTGAAGCTTAGTTGTAAGAGAGAGTGTGTGCTCTCTGGTCAGTCTGCCCTGTTCCACTTGTGCAAATTATAGCAGTTCATTTAATGTATCTGTCCACCTTGGGGAGGATTTGGTGCTTTGAGTACACTCCTTCCAGATTCAAATAACAGGAAAAAGAAGCAAGACCAGAAAGCCTAACATTCCACAGCAGCTTACAAAAATGCTACTGTGTTAACATGAACATCTACAGGCAAAATTGGTCTTCTAAACATCTGAAGTTGGATTAGTTCGAAGTCCATTTCCCAGCAGCTGTAATGGGTATAATTTTATTGGCCTCCAGCAAAATGCAGCAGAGTATCAACTCGGTTCTCACTCAAACTGCTTTTTTTGATAGAGGGGGAGGACTTAACTAATGTCAGAACTTCTCCCTCCAGCATCCCACAAGATACCTGGCAGATCTCGTAATATGCTCTGTATGTGGAACTTACAGCAGGGTCCAGAAAGAAATTAGACCTGCACATAAACAAGTGAAAGAAAAGAACATACCTTTTTCCAAAAGTTCTGTGTGCACTGTATTTCTTCCACTTATTGCTTGCATATTTTCTCTGTGCTTCTCAGGCCTTTTCTTGTCTCTTTGCTTGTCTTGACCTTTCTGTTGCCTTCCCTCTTTTCTGTTCAGCATTGACTGAATCTTTGTAACATCCAGACTTATCTTTGAGGCAACTAATTCTTCATTACTTCCAAATAGCTTTTTAAAAATCAGCAGATGTTCGTCCAGATGCCGCTTGATGGTTGCTAAATCTGCAGAGAGAATCCCCACAGAACTGTTGAGGGGCTCGATTACATTTGCTATTGTGTGATTGCAGCAGAGATTCACGTCACTTCTGGATTCACGACTCTTGATTGCCAGGCTCAGGTGTTTGATATCATTCTTCAGAGTCATGATATCATTATAAGCCGAGCTGTCCAAGGAGTCGTCTTTGGCAGCCTCGTAGTTGGGTTCCATGTGCTCTCTGATGCTGCCTTGACTGCTGACTTCGTCTAGAGTAGAGGGCGTTTGTGTTTCTTCTCTGGGGTGGTTGGGAGGTGTACGAGCATCATGATTATTCTGTTGACCTCTCTCTGAGAGATGAGATCTCCTTGTAAGAGACTCTAAAGTCACGTTTTGTTCTTGGAGTTTATCTGAGATATGTCTGAGAGATTCTTGCAGCTCAAATACTGACGGTATTAGGATACTAAAATCATCTTCGAACAAGACATCCACAAATTCTTCTTTCAGTAAAGCCTCCAGTGCTACTTCATGCCGCATGGCATCTTCCAAAAGAGAGCCAAAAGAACTGTTGAGATACTTGATGTGTCTATGAATTTCTTCATCTTTCTTCTTCATCGAGCCTATGTCTTCTGACAAAGCTGTGACTTGTGATTGAAGCTGTCTGTTTTCTTCTTGACGGAGACTAAGAGACAGATGGATAGATGGAATAGCTGAGGAGAGCTCTTCAATTTCATTCCTCAAAAGATCTCTGAGAACTGACTCTAAGTGCTTCGTATCCTTTAAATTTGACTGCGTGTCTTCAAGGGAATAAGTGATATTCTTTGAATCTTCCTCGAGTACATCAGTGTCAGAAGATATTCTCTGGCAATTACATTCCTCCATGTACCTCAACAGATCTGAATAGTTTTCCTGAAGGTTTGACAGAGTGTAGTTGAACTCTGATATTTGCCTTTCCATTGCTGCATTGTTTTCTTCCATAATAACTGATTTCTCAGTTAAAGTTATTGTAAGATCTTCTGGCCTATACTTGGAGATATTTTTTTTTAACTCCGTAAACCACCTCTCTAAAATTGCAATATTCTGAAAGGCCACATCTGACTCCATGTAAAGTTCTTTAAGCTGCTTTGCATGCCCTGCCAGAATGTCATTTATTTGTCTGATGGTTGTCTGGCTGTTTTCATATTTGGGACCATGATGCAAAGAGAGTTCTGTTAAATTTCGTTCCAAAGTCTCCAATTTATTTTCAAGATCGTTTTGGTCTTGTTTCACCTTTGCTATGCTGTTGTTCAAAGCTAAGAAATGGGACTGCTGTATCTTATGAATCTTCTTGAGCTTTGTGTCAGTATCTGCCTTGATCATGCTGAGATTGTAGTGAATGTTGGCCTGCTGCATGTGCAGTTGGTTCTCTATATCTCTTTTCACCTGATCAGCTCTCACTATGTTTTCTTGGACTTTTGATTCAAATTTAGTTCCCAGCTCCTGGAATTCCTTCTTGGGCACAGAGCTCTCTCGAAATCTTTCTATGCTTCTCTTGTTGGCTTCCACGTCATGGGACAGGTTTCTTACTATGTTGGAGAGGTTCTGTAAGCTTCTGTTGAAGCTTGCCCACATCGGGTTAAAATGTTTCCTTAGAAAATTCTCCACGTGGGGAAACAAAACTTGCTGCAGAAGCCTTTCCTGTGGATCTGTTAACACAGTTGAAAAAAATAATTTAATTAGATTTAAATTCTGGTTTTGGAACGCAACTTTATCTAACCAGGGTAACTCAAGTATGCATTTCTCTATAGTAGTTGCCATCTTACTTCCCAGATATTTGAACTCATGATATTGACAATTCTGACAACTGCATAAATAGCCTAGTTTTAAATCAAGGTTACTGTAAAGCACATGGTGTCTATGAGTCTGCAGACAACAACTTAGACACGTGTTGATTTCCCCATTTAGGTCTTAAAAATTATGCTTTTTGAAACCCCTAGACAGGCAGTTTTGCAAGGGGCCATAACTGTCCTTTTTCCCAACAGTTCTTAGTTAGTGAGCCCTTCCTTTTTTCACTGTGTCCTAATGTTGTTCTTTTTCTGATGCTTCACAAAGTTAGACAGCATCTTAACAGCTGAATATTCCAGGCCATGAGTAAATAACTTGAAAAATCTGTGAAATATCTGTACTAGGTGTGACTTATACTAAGGCTTGATTTCTAACATTAAAATTCAAACTTGAGTGCCTTGAAGTTCACTGAATACAGTAGTCTGTATCATTAGAAATCGTTTCTGTAAGCCAGTGGCTCACAACAGTAGGTCAAATTCAGTAGCTTTTTTTTCCCCCCACTCCTGTATAGGGCAGGAATAATGTTCCTGAGAAGGGTAAAATGTTTCATTTTTTTGTATAAACCAGTCTGATATTCCACACAGGAGAGTATATAGCATGAGTACAGAAAAAGAACAAAAACCACATCTAAACTCTGTATCCCTATAGAAGAAGCCACAGAAGCAGAATAGTAAGATGAGCAAATTTTAAATGTGAGCAACCTCTTTATTCTTCAGTTAAGGCATATTCTGAAATTTGCCTTCTGTCACATTTCCCATTTCAAGTTACTCTTGGGTTCCTTCATTTGCACTGGGATTGCACCCATTTTTTCTCTCTCTAGAAGCAACCAGCAGACCAAGGAATATCAGGGTATCTTTGCTTTCATGTTTTCTTCCTGGTCTGCCTGGTCTCACAGGGCCTATCTCAGGCTGGTAATTCTGCATCAGACCTCTCACCTGAATTGCTCTGGTTCACTTCTAACACCATGCTCGTACCGTTGTTCTCAAATAGCCTCTGTAAGTCACCTAAGTTGCTGACTGCTTGATGAATATCACTTTGAAGATCATCCAGTAAAGCCTCATGATTTTGAATGACTTCGAACATTTCTCTGGAATCCACTGATGTTGACACTAGTCACAAGATTGAAAAAACAAAGTCATGCAACGGAGTGCAGCGACCAGGCGACAGGTATTCATACCACACCTCTGAGAACACCTGTCTACTTTTTGCTCTGAAAATTTTACGCTGACATTTAGGGGGTCTGTTGGTTTGCGGCACCTTAAATTGTAGTTTCTTTGCAAAGAATTTTTTTGACAGTGATGAAAACGTAATGTAGTTAAATATCTGCAAAGAACTTCAGCCACAATAGCCATGATGGCAATAAAAGACTCTTTAATTAGAAACGTCCCCATACCATAAAAATGTTTTGGAATACTAACTCCTTTCAAGCCATTGACTGAAAAGATAGCAAGGTTTAACAATCCAGAATAAAAGGAGAGGATGAAAGAGCAATTGAGGCATTCCACTGAGGAATCAGAAGCACAGTGTGTGTCAGAGCTGACTCGTAGAGGGGCCCTTTAACTAATGTTGTTCTAAATAAGTACCTGTGAAGTTCAGCTGTAGGTTTCAAAGTATACACTGAGAGCTGCTGAAACTGGTGTGTTCAAACTGTGCTATCCCAAGGGCTTCTTACCCTCCAGGGTTACCTTTGACCTTTAAATCTCTTGTTTTATATAATTCAGTTGTGCAAACCAGCTGCTTATTCGTTCAGTGCTGAGAGCATAATGTAAAGCTCTTTCAGAGCTGCAATACTATGCTGTGGCTAATTGCTAAAAGATACTTAATAGCACTGTAAGCCACACCATTTCCCAGGTGGTAAGGGACAGTCCTTGGTACTCAGATTGGTAGGTTGAAGTGCCTGAGATACAAATCTTTGGTACCTCATAACAGTAAACTCAAAGCTACTGGGAGGCTGTTCTAAAACAGCATTTCGAGTGGGTTGTTTTTCTGGTAGAATCATGAGCCCGGTGTGCTTTCCTGTGAATCCACTTGGCAGAGAAAGGGGTTAACATCCCTGGCACCGAGAGATGTAAGGCTCTGGACCAGCTGGCATTCTACATTGGTATCACTGATCACCAGCCAGCAGACAGCTTTGAAACTTTTGGATGCTTTGTCTTGAGCATTTGTGTAGTGTTCTAGCAAAAGCCCTCATTTAAGCCAATAAACGTATTGTTTCAAAGCTTTCACAAATGATGCTTTCACTAAAGAGATTGTCTAGAGTTCATCAGGTTAAAATGATTAAAATAACTTGTTCTTTCTGATCAGTGGCTGAGAGGTAAAAGGGTGACAAACAAAATAACTTCAAGCACATACTGTGGTTTGAGAACTCTTCTTCTCCTCCTTCAATTTCAGTTCCTGGCACCGGAATAAAATTAGGATCTGCAATCGAGATGTGATAAAGCTGTGAAAATGTTTAAGATGCAGAAACTACTACAGTTTAGCAAGACAACACAGAGGAATTTCATGTGTAGTGTAAAAGATGTGGAGACAGGATTCTTGGGGAAAGACCATCTTGTCTGGAGAATTTTCTTTCCCCGCACGGACTTACAACATTGCATACATGGTAATGCTGTGCAGTAACGTGGGGGGTTTTAACTCATGCCAAATTATTGGTCCTAAGGAATTAGTCTATTGCAAATAGATGCCTTTTTTTTTTTTCTTTTCTGGGAGTCCCACCTAAAGATCTACAAATTCCTCTTCCTTTTTCCACAGTTACCTGAACGTTCTGGTGGCACCAACAGCGAATGATGAGATGATGATGGAGGAGCTGCTATTGGTCAGTGAGTGTAACAAAAGAGAGACTAAACTAGAAGCACTGCTTTTGGTAGTATCTTTCCAACATTAAAAATGAAATTCAGGCTGAGGCACCACGTAGAGATAAATCTACAAGTCAAAGCTATCTGTGAAGAAAAGCAAAACCTACAGAGACTTTTTTCTGTGGAGTCTGTAGGTGAGTTAGACGTGAAAATTTTCACACGTGCTTGCCTTTTTTATTATGGTTGCCTTAATTGCTAGAGGGAATTATCTTTTATCCATTTAAATTCCCTTAATTCCATTTAAATTCTTAAATCTGTTTTAATTCCACTTTTCAAGTCTTATTTGCTAAATCCTACCAATGCTATTTTTAAACGACCATTTAGTTTTTAAACCACGCTGTCTCCCCTCTCTCTTATTTAGCAGCTGCACAGATCATAGAGTCATTGAATGGTTTGGATGGGAAGGGACCTTAAAGACCACCCAGTTCCAACCCTCCCACCATAGAAGGGAACCTTCCACTAAACCAGGTTGCTCAAAGCCCCATCCAACCTGGCCTTGAACAGTTCCTGGGATGGGGCATCCACAGCTTCTCTGGGCAACCAGTGCCTCATCGTCTTCATATAAAGAATTTCTTCCTAATATCTAATCTAAACCTGCTCTCTTTCAGTTTGAAGCCCCTTGTCCTGTCACTGCATGCCCTTGTAAAAAGTCCCTCTCCATCTCTCTTGCAGTCCCATTGGGTACTGGGAGGTGTGATTTCCTGAGCCACATAATTTCATCCTATGAACTGACCGCAGGGGCATTTCACATACTAGTGTAGCTTTCTGATGTCACCAGTTTCTACCTAGAATTAGGTATTCCTAGATGAACTTGTCTAGATGGACATCTGGCAGGCTCCCCTAGCAAATCAATATCTTTCTCAGTGTGTAAAGATTACAAAGGTTGCTATTAACAGAAGAATATGTAGCTCATGCTAATTAACTAATAATTTCAGGTGATTACAACTACTTCTTATCTCAAAGTATCAGTGATTTGGGGCATATCAGACCAAATAGAACAAGGCACTGATACTGAAAAAAAGGCAAAAGCAAATAGACAAACTTATTTTTTGTCGTTGTGCCTGGCATTTAGTCGTTCATTCTCACACTTGTTCTCTAGCTTTCCTTACCATGCTGTTCACAGTCCTTGCCAATAAATCCAGGGCAGCATTTCCACTGCAAAGACTTCAAAACCTTCTGTTTCACTTGGTAGACTGGCTTCAGAGCTGTCCTGTACCTGTGGAGTAACAGGCTGGGTGTCAGATTGGAAGTTGTTGTCAGCGGGTGGCACTTGGGTGCCAAGTGTGTCAGAGATGACTAGTGCAGAATGCAGTTAAGAAACTTGTCATAATCTCTATCACTGCTACTTAGCAAAGCATATGGGCAGTCCACAGCAATTTTTTTTCCTTACATAAGATTATTTTTCAGGATTACTGTTTACAGTGGGAGGGGTGTGCGCATTCTTACGTGCAGTCAGAGGCTCCAGTGGTCAGCCTCATGGTTACCAAGGAAGATACAAATTTGTTAAAAACTCCCCTGGGTATAATGATGAAACTTTTTTTTGTTGTTCAGAGAAAGAGAAGTTAATTGTATTAGCAAATAACAAAAGCATTTTTGCAACCAAATACCTGCACAGATGTGAGGGCGTGTAGGTGATAACTAAATATAATTTAACACTTCAAAAGTGTGTGTGAGTCCAGCTTAAAAAAAGTGTGTGTCTCCCAGCTTCAAATATGCACCTTAAGATACACTACTGGCTTTCACTAGTACTCCTTGGGCAGCCAGACCTTGTGAAAGAACAGTGAGCATCTGGGGATTTGCAGTTCTCTGACTCCTGCCGTGTAAATGGTCTCTCTGATGGCCACAGACGGAGAGATTTAAGTTATGTGTGTATATTATGACCTGAGAATCATGGAAAAGGTATGGTCTCTGTATGTTTTCTGAACATGTGGGAAGATATGAAAAATTGCTTAATCATCTTGTAGTCCTGTACTCGGTGGTTTGGAAAGGCAGTTGTTCTCCCAGGTTACTTAAATGCCTGATCACCTTTAGGTACATAAATGCAGCCCTACATCACTTTGGTATTAAACTGTGTTGATGCTTTAGTTCTTTTTAGAATGTGTCATTCAACACTGTTGAAAACATCGTTTTGATACATCAGAGAAAATTCTGTTTTCTTCAGTGGTTTTATTTAGGATACTTACATGATCTTCTGGCAGTCAGGGGTTCCATTTGGACAGGGCTGTTGGGAGTTGACAATGTACTTCTCCTTCATGCAGGCTTCTATGTATGTCACCAGCCGGGACTGCGTGAAGGAACACCAGTTCCTAGCGGAAGAAAGACGTGGGAAAAGAGTTTGAGGTAGATCTTGTTGAGTCTCTGGTTGTAACAGTGCCAAGGACGAATGAAATGCAGAAGGGCCTTCTATTTTTTATGTTTTCTTTTTCCCAGCTGTATGGTGAGGAAAGCGGAAAACGCTTCAGAGCTTCTCCCTCCACTCCCGATTTATGTGTTTTCATTTGAGATGTTTATCTGAGTTTGTAAGGAAGGGGCTGATTGTCTGCACTTTGATGCATTAGTTCCATTTCCAGTCCTTTCATTTAGGAGGAGAAATTTCCAACCCATGATAACCTGCAGGTTAATGTCACTTTAAATGTCAAATTGCCTTTCTAGGCATGTTGCCATTTCAGATGCCTAATGACTGACTCATCAGGTTGAGGCAGACTGGTTCTGAAAATTTAATCCGGCATAAACTCCATTAATAATGTCTTCCCAAGTATTACTTCTTCAGGATAATATAGTAATTGATTGGATTTTATTAATTAAGCCAGCTTTGAAATAATTTCTCCTGTCACCTGCAGGAAAATGATAGTGGAAAAAAAGAGGCTTGTTTGCTTGGGGTTTAGTTTTATGGTTCTAGCAAGGACAAGTGAGTTTTAGTAGTCTGATTAATTTTCCAAGTAAAAATTATATAGGCAGCTATTAATCCCAGCGTGTAGGTGAGCCTCTTCCTTTTCAAGAGTTTAAAGTCACGACTTGGAAGGGTACTGTTGGCTAAAATCCAAGGCCAGAAAGGGCAGGAAGTGAGGAGTAATAACTATAATGGAAACAGCTGAACTTTAGGCAATATATTTTTAAGTGGGAATACAGGAACCAAATCTCTGACAATCAGCATATATGGAAAAAGTTTGCCCCTGTGAGAGAGTCGCTGAAACAATGGGGAACCGAGTCCTGCACAAAAGCAGAAGCTGCGACCGCAGCGGCCGGGCAGCCAGGAGAAGGGGAGGAAGCTGCAAGGAAGCTGGAGGCATCAGGATAAAAGGGCAGACAGCCCAGGCTAGCTGGGAACAGTTCACCAGGCTTCCTGGGACGTAGCCTGTTTTTCTCCCCCGTTTCTTAAGGAAAATGTGATTGAAATTTCAGCAAGCACTCACACGAACAAAACTCTTCATCTCTTAGAAGCCAGGGCAGGAATGTGGCAAAGCCTACAGCACTGGGAGAGGAAAAGAAGCTGCTGCCTTTGTTGTAACTTCAAGCCAAAGCAACTTGTTTGATGAACTGTAGCTTTAAGGCCTTTGCAAGTGACTGGGGGAGTTGTTGCGCCTATGACCAATGGGGGTCTTGGTTCTTATGGGACTGAACCAGAAGACAAATCCTCAGTTTTTTATTAAAATACTGCTCTTTCATAATCAAACACTCTGCTCGTGTCACTGGGCCACTCAGTAAAAGCCAGCAGACCAGCACACATGCTCTGGTGACATTTGTCTCCGAGGTGTGCCTAAATCTGCCAGGCTTTATAAGGCTGCAGTGCTTTTCAGCAATTAGTGTTCACTTAAATAACTCTGAAACAGAGACCTGGTTTGTGCCTGGGCTTGGGCTGTCCTTTCTCGTGTGCTTGGCAACGCATAGCTGGGAGAGGCTTTTCCCCCTCAGATCCTCTCTGCTTTTTTCTTGGGGAAATAAAGTGCCCAGGCACTGGAGCCTCCCTGGTATCGTTGCTAGGTGCAGGATTCCTGGCTCTGCCAGCAGGACGGCTGCCAGATTCAGGCAGGAGTCTGCATTCAGTATGGAAACCTCCTTTTAAAACAGGATTCTTTAGCTTTGGGGGTTTGTTCTTTCCTAATGAAAACAATCCACACCCTATGAATCATCATCTGGGCTGATTTTATTTTTTTTCCCACAACATGCAGCTCCCAAACAAGTCCTTGGAGTAATTTAAGCCATATAGAGCTGGGCCAACTGTTCACGTGAATCAACTTGTGTGAGCAAGAATTAGGCACTGTGTGACTGTGAGTGTTCTTGCTGTATTGCACACAAGGATTTCTTTTCAAAACATGTTAGTGTTGGAGGCACCTGGTGGCTTCCTGCTTGTAGAAAGGGGTTATCTTCTATTAGAAATTGTGTCAGTGGTTGATCCCAACTTAATGCCTGCTTTGGACAGTTACTAGTATTATACAGAGTGAGTAGCATGAGAAAAAAAAGGGGGGGGGAATTTGATAGATTCTCAATAAAAACTTCCTTTAATGCTGGTCACACTTCTTTATGTCCAATTTTCTTTACTATCTGTTCACTAGCTCTCTCTCATTTGATCTTAAAAGCTTAAGATCAAATCTGTGGAGCTGAAGGGCTGCATAATATGATGTTTTGGGTTTAATCGCAAAAACCTTTAGTGGTTTTGAGTTCCATAAAGCTTATCAACATTTATTCTTTCCTCAAATAAGTAGATAAGGCCTGTAATGAGCTGCAATATAGATACACGTGCCCAAAGATGAATACTTCTATTGCAGTATTTTTTGCACATCTTGTCAAATGCTTCCTTTAAGGAAACTTTGCTATCTGTAACTAAAAATACTCCTTAACTGCATTAACCTCCAGGGAAAATACGTCATTCTTTAATGTTAGGTGCAACAATGTAAAAGACTGAGAAGGGCTTGATCTAAAGTTCAGGGAGGCTAGCAGGACTTCTGCTGGCACCAAAGGC